AAAGCTTTATGATGGTCCTTATGTGACTTAGAGCGAATTCCCATTCTCGCTGAAGGAGCAAATTTTCAATCAATTTAAGGTATAAATATTCTTTTAAGCAGTATAATTATTTATATTTATGACATTTCCATATAATACTTAACTTTTGATATACAGAGCAAGTGTGTATGGGAACACCGCTATAGCACGGAAGTGCCTGCAAACTTTCATCTCAAAGCTCGCAAGCGGTTGTCGCATTGTTTCTCCAAAGCTAGAAAGTTGAACCAGAAGCCTGACTGGTTGCTTCAGAATTTTATGGGAGGATTTGCAAAGGCAATGGCTTACCGCAAAGTTCTTAGAGAAGAGCGAAAAAGGAAAGAAAGCTCGCGCATCTGAGAAGGGAGGATCCTTGCACAGTGGAGGTGCGATCAGCCTAGGGACAATAAAAAGAAGAATGGTACGTAATTGCTTAATTTATTTTAATTTTCAAAGTATATCTATTCTGTTTATTAACTAAAATTTATGAGTTTTCAGGAAAAGAAGTTGGGGCGTCCGATGAACCAAGATGAGCTATTCAAGGAGACTCATATTGTAAAGAAGAAGAAAGAGACAGATCAAGAAAAGTGGGTCGAGGGCCGAGCCTCGACTGTACATGTAAGTTTTCACTTTTCATTAAGTATTTTGATTTACTTTTATATAAATTTTGAAATACTAATTCCATGTAATTTTTCTTATAGGGTCGCTTCACAGCTGAACTGCAGAAATTCATACGCAGTCAGCCACCTAATGAGTTGGACGAGCCAATCCAACCTTCGGACGAGGATGCTGAAAGAATGTGGACGCAGGCTGCTGGCGGTCCAAAATGGGGGAAGGTATACAGGCTTCCTACTAAGAAATTCCATCGCTATAAGTGTGGAATGCAAGGAATAGAGACTTCCTCGCAAGCCGAGCTACTTGATGGGGATAGCCTCTCCGCTATGCGGGAGACTGTGACAAAGCTCACATCCGAGCTAGAAGCGGCCAAGGAAAGAGAAAAGCTTAGAGATGCTCAGTTCACTGGCATGCAAGAGCAGATCAAATCTCTCCTAGCTTCTGGCTCTTTTCCGATTCCCCGGTCTCGTGAGTCATCGTTAGAGGCTCGCCTTCCCCGTGCTCATTCCTCCCGTCCTCCCCGTGATTGTTCTTCCCGTCCTCGACAAGTACACCCTTCTGGATACCATCTTGGTGATGAAAGTTCATCAGACGGTGATGATAATGATGTACAAAACAATCCTTGACTTTTATACTCTTTGAACTAGACAAATACAATCGGTTTCGAATAGGCTTGTAATAACAGTTAACTTAGTTTGGTTAGCTTAATGTGTTAGTTCTATTGAACTTTATACTTTGTTGTTTTTAATGTTGTTGTTGTGTTGTTGTTGTTGTTGTGTTGTTGTTGTTGTTGTTGTTTATTGTTGTTGTTGTTGTTGTTGTTGGCAGTTGTTGTTGGCATAAAATGCCTGTTTAGGAATTTTGGTATGCTGGCAGGTGGTGTAGCTGCCAAAACAGGCAGTTTCTGCCAAAATTATACCCAGAAAAGCGACCAACTTTGGTCGCTAGTTGGTCGCTTTTCTCTTTAAATAATTAATTTTCTGGGCAGTAGCGACCAAGGTTGGTCGCTAAATAACCTAGATTTCTCAAAAAGCGACCAACTTTGGTCTCTACTCTACTAAAAAAATATATTTTGTGGAAAATAGCGACCAACTCTGGTCGCTTATGTATAAAAAATAATTAAATTCTTGAAATTTGCGAGCAATGTTGGTCGCTTGTGTTTTAAAAAATTAAAAAAATTATAAAAATAGCGACCAACTTTGGTCTCTATTTTCCAGATTTTAAAATATAATATTTTATTTACAGACCAAAGTTGGTCGCTATATTTTGATTAATAATAAATAAAAAAACGTAATTTAAGAATAGAGACCAACTTTGGTCGCTAAAATTATATTATTAAAATAATAAAGCGACCAAAGTTGGTCGCTATATTTTGATTAATAATAAAAAAAAACGTAATTTAAGAATAGAGACCAACTTTGGTCGCTAAAATTATATTATTAAAATAATAAAGCGACCAAAGTTGGTCGGTATATTGTTTAAACGGAATATTTGGTCCTTTTACCTTAGAGACCAAAGTTGGTCGCTAATTAGCGATCAACTTTGGTCCCTAAGGTAAAGGGACCAGCAAAATATCGACTAGCCCTGTTTGGTCGCTTTTTGATCGCTTTTTGGTGGCTTTTTGCCCTGTAAGCGACCAACTTTGGTCGCTTTTTGTGGTCGCTTTTTTCCGGATTTCTAGTTTCCTCCATTTCAGTTAACCCCAAACAACCTCCAAACATATCTTCAGTTAACCCCAAGAAGCATAGTTTCTCATACTCCCTCTGTTCCAATTTATGTGAACCTGTTTGACTGGGCACGAAGTTTAAGAAAAAATGAAGACTTTAGGAATTTGTGATCCTAAACAGGTCAAAAAGAGGGCACAGGGTATTTGTGTGGTTATAAAAGCTTCTCGTTAAAGGTAAAATTATAAGTTTAAGCTAAATTGTTACCAAATCTAGAAATGGGTCATTCTTTTTTGAATGGGCGAAAAAGGAAATAGGTTCACATAAACTGGAACAGAGGGAGTAGAAGAAATGCTTCTGACTCTGATTCTTCTGTAATTTGTTATTTTTATGGTTTTCCAAAATTTCTATCTTTTCTAAAGCTTTTACTATCCATTTACACTTTAATTTTGGTAAATTATGTTCACATGACTGACTTGGTGATCACGCCCAACTATGCCTTATAAAAAGGACTAAGCGGTCGTTACAAATATAATTCGGTTTACAAGTCCGGAGTCGAATCTCACAGAGAACTAAGACTTAGCTACAGTTGTTCAATATTGCTAAGAAGACAAGCTCGAACAATTCCTATGTAAAATTTGTACAGGCGCGCCGCATGGGGCGATGCACTGTGCGGCCCGGCAGTGGGGAAGTTCCGAGAGCTGTTTTTTGACAGGCTGTTGGAAAATTGCACAAGTGCGGCGCACTGTGGGAATTTGCAAAAATGCAAAGCATGAAAGTTGTAGCTCTTTCGAATAGCTTTCCAACTATATATTGTGGAGTCCAAACGGAGTTCTGAATGATAAGTTATATGTATTTTACTAGACGATGCATCGTATGCCCGCTCGATTCTTCATTTCGTTCTTAACTATCATCCGTTGATCCCCGAACACGATCCCGGCTTGATTCCTTGGGCTTTTACTCAGACTTCAAAGCTCCAGATTGCTTGAATTCATTCCATAATATCTACATAGTTCGGAATCACTCTACAAGACATAAAATACACAATTTAGTACAAAACACTAGCGATTAAAGCTCAAACTCAATTAAAGTGCAGTACATTAGAGTGTAATAAGTGACTAAAATACGTAATTATAGCCTATCATCGCTTGGGTATATATAAAAGTCCATGGGTGATGATTCATAGCTCTTTATTTTCCGAAACAAAAACAACAACCCAGTATAATCTCACTAGTGGTGTCTGGGGAGGGTAGTGTGTACGTAGACCTTACCCCTACCCTGGGGTAGAGAGGCTGTTTCCAAATTGACCCTCGGCATCCTTCCCTCCAAGAACTCCCCACCTTGCTCTTGGGGTGACTCGAACTCACAACCTCTTGGTTGGAAGTGGGGGTTGCTTACCATCAGAGCAACCCCTCTTGTACTAATGGTGATCAAATCAAATTGAAAAATCGCATCAAAATCGAAAAGTCAATTAAACCGATTAAAAAATTCGAATCCGATTAGGTTGGGTAAGGGGAAAATTAGAATCTTAGCCTTTGAATTTTGTGGTGGACGGGTGGCTTAAATCTAAAGGCCTACTAATAATTACCGGAGGATGGGATACTGTAGAAAATCCAGACCCGTTCAAATGTCTCATAATATATACTTCGACAGAGTTTTATCCAAAAATAGAAGCAACTCAACCCTATTAATAAAATCTTAAGACAACATCATCTACATTCACAAGCAAACTATCACAAGAAGTTGAAGGAAAATAATAAGTTACTAAATGTTTGAATGATCTACAATTCTCCACTAGTCTTTACACATTAAAAATAGCTAGCAATTAATATGAATCTACTTTAACTAAAAACCGGAAAATATATTTCTATATAAATTTGACTACAAATCCTATTTAAACATAAATTAAAATAAATGTACAAATATTAAATCCTAAACAATTTTGATTTCGTACTTCCCTAATTTAGTCCTATTACTTCTTAAGCCATATTTCCAAATATTTCAAAAATTGAATTTCCTTAATTAATGCAATACTTTATTATCTGGAGAAATAGAAACTTTTCCACATAGATCAATTTTAAAAAATTGAAATATCTTAGCACTTAATACACTCCACCTCTATTACAGTTTTCCTCCCGTTGGTTCAGTACATGCTTGGATATCTTACACTTGTCCACTTATTAGATCTAAATGTCACGTCCTTAGTCGCTAATTAAGTGCACGTGCGGTAATTGACAATTTGCTCACGTTCTTGCTATGCCAAATCAGTTTTTTTACACTCAAGATCGCTAAGAGAATGACAGAAAGAACATAAGAGAATTGTTAAAGGAAACTTTGTATTAGAGAAAACTTGAATTTTTGCTTGGTGATTTACAAATGAATGACCCCCTTTATATACTAGTCTCCTAGAGGCTAGTGTGTAAATATTAATTGTTATGCAAGTCCTTAATATTTATAAGATAAGAGCTTTCTCTAAAATTTTCTACAAACCTAGAAGATTTCAAGGATTTTCCTAGCAAATCCATAAGGATCTAGATTCTTCCTAAAGAAAAATATTCATACTTCTTTAGAATCTTCTCACAAATGCTAGCCTTCTTCTTATGTAAGCTTCCATATAGCATTAATATATGCCAAGTGGCATGATGACGTGGTGGGTCATCACATAAAGGTCAAGAAACTCAAGACTTATTTAAATTACATAAACAACCCGTTAACTGTGGTTTGGCCAAAAGTTAGTTTTCTCCCTCGACCAAATTGGGAAGAGAAGAACTGTAGCTCGAAAATATAGCTGGGAATTTCCTTGTGGTGGAAAACAATTTTCTTACCATGGAAATCATCTGTTCAGCTGAGGAACTGTGGAATTCAACAAAAACTGAATTAAATGGCTGCACCAAAAGTGTTGTGATTCTTGCAGCGGCAATTTGTAATGTTAATTAAACAATGGCTACAATCTGTTTGATAGAAGTCTCAACTGAACTATTTGTGAATATTACGGGGAAATGAGTTAAAACGAAAATCAACTTCCAATTCAACAGTTTTCAATTGATCAGGTTTTGCTCCCACTTCTCTCTAGATTTACATGGTAACCATGGACCTTTTCGGAAAGAAGGAAGGGATCCCACCTGACATACCATCCCAAACTACCAATCAAGACCCTACACATCAGCATACATCAACCACTACCGACGACACAGGCCAAAAAACACACGGCCAACACACCGACAACCAAAATCCAGCAGCATCGGATGTATCGAAACACATAGATACCGAGTCCGACCAATCCTCCGATGGAACAAATGAGAAAATAAGTGAAAATGTTTCTGCAGGACACCATAGATCCGGTTTAGCAGGATTGAAAGTATCTTCCAATTTTGACAAACCAGATAAGAACAAACAAACCAACCAGAAAGATCCTAACCCGAATATCCCAAATCCTAATAAAAAAATCAGCAATCCAACAGAGACACATCATATCCAACAGAAAACACAAACAAACCAACATCAAAACCAACAATTACAGAAAACCCAACTAAATATTCCATCCAAACCTTCTTTTTCAGCTGTTGTTCACTCAAATCTAGCAGCAGACCTTAAGGACAAAGCGCCAGTAGACATCAAACAGGGCACACACCTGGGAAAGCCGGAAGTCTTTTTCAATGCGCAAGATTACTTTATAAATCTGGCTCAAGAGTGCAAACTGACAGTTATTGGGAAGTTCTCAAAAGGTAAGCCAACAATGGAGGAGATTAGGAGAGATTTTGTTCGAAGATATCATCTGAAAGGTCCGGTGAAGATTGCTTACTTTGATCATAGGTATGTGTATATAGATTTCTCTAATGCAGACCGATTATAACCACATCTATGACAAACCTTACCTATCGCTAGGAGGAAAGCCCATGAAAATCATAAAGTGGACAGCAGATTTTAAACCTGAGATAGAAACTTCCATTGTGCCTGTATGGATATTAATTCACCAACTTGGCATCTTTTCAGATGGGATGTGATGTCAAGGATCGTTGAATCTGTAGGTACAGCTATTGCTCCTGATCAAGCTACGTATTCCAAAACTAATGGGAATGTAGCTAAGCTTAAGGTAGAGATTGATCTATTAAAGCCCAAACAAGATCAGATTTGGTTGGGATTTAATAAATTAGAAGGGTCGGAAGATGGAATGTGGCTAGACATCGAGTATGATGGGGTTCCAAGCTACTGTAAATGTTGCTTGCTTCAAGGCCACATGGAGGATCAATCTAGAGTGAAAAAAGAAAGGGATGACAAGAAACTGAATGGCGAAAATGCGAACAAAGGAGGGGGAACACAATCAGAGGAAATGGTACAAGACAAAAGTAGTAACGTACGGAGGGAAGTAGGAGAGCCAAGTAATTCAAAAGATAGTAACCAATGGGAACAACCAAAAAAGAAAAAGAGAAGCAGAAATAAGAATCAAGTAGATAACCCTCAGGTACACAAGCATAACAAAGGCATTGTCATTCAAGAACCAGATCATCAACATCACTTGACAAGGGCTCCGGAGGTCCCAGGAAAAGGAAAAATGGTGGATGAAAGTGTGGAACATCAAGAAAACAAAACAAAAAAGAAGGTGGTGACACAAAAGGAGAACCAGACCAAGCAACATACTCAGGAGAATGCAGAAAACAACCAAGACCAAATGCATCAAAAGGTAAATAAAATTAAAGGCAACAAAGGAGGACAAAAAGATAATACAGGCAATCAAAAGCAACAAAACCCAAAATACAACAATGAGCTGGATAACTATACAAGAACACGTGGAGGGGCTCAACATCAGGAGCTATTCCATGACTGTGCCCAGGACAATGAAGACTCACAACATGAAAATTAGGTATCCAGGATAACTGAATCCACCGAACAAACAAGGAATCACATAATCCCACAACCTTTATCTCCAACTGCTCTTCAAGTCTTGAACGGAAGCACAAGGATAGATAAGGAAGCTGATATTGGAAGTGCAAATGAATCAGAAGAAGGGGATCACGAAAGTTCTGATCATGAATACGGAGAAAATGAGAGTGAAATAGATGAGTCAGAGAGTGTAGAAGAGGAATCTAGCTCAGATGATGAAACTGCAAAGAAATTGATTGAAGTTGTTCCTTCTGATCCAAACAATGAACTTGATAAAGCCTTTGGGGAGGTGATTGAAAAGGTCACTTGTCACTAAGAGGAGCAAACTCTGGTAGAGGCGGTAGAGCCAACAGAGGTGGTAGGGGAGGAAAAGGAGGAAGGTCAAATGTTCAACATACTGTGAATATGTCACAGGCCAAACGGACCCCTAAACCAAAAGTTTTTTATGATTAAGTCCATTTTTTGGAACATTAGAGGTACCAAAAGTCAAGGTGCCTTTGAAAGACTTTTGCAGATGAAGATTACTCATCAGATTCCTTTTATTGCTCTGATGGAACCTTTCTGTAAACCTAAGAAAATGACAAGGTATAAAACAAGATTGGGGAGTGGGTTTGGTTACTCCAATTGTAATAACAAAATCTGGATATTTTGTGAAGACTGGTTGGATTGTAAAGTTATTGAGGATACAGAGCAACAAGTCACTTGTTCTCTGAAATTGAATGGTAATGACCTGTTAGTGACTGCTATTTATGCTAAATGTGACCCTCTTCTTAGGGTAGATCTTTGGGATAACATCAGAAACATAGCAACCAACCATGATGTCCCTTGGATAGTAGGGGAGATTTTAACTGTATTCTTTCTCCTGATGAAAAACTGGGGGGTAATGTACATAGAATGTCAAATATCATGGATTTCCTCAATTGTATCATTGACACGGAGCTGGTAGATATTATGGTTCAGTATATACTTGGTGCAATGGATGGGAAGCCAGTAAGAGGGTGTGGAAGAGGTTGGATAGAGTGTTGACTAATCAAAAATGGTTGCAGCTCTTTAATAACACTTGTGTCCCTCACCTTATCAGAATCAGATCTGATCACTCACCTCTTTTTGTGTGTGGAAAATACATGAGGTACAAACTCCTAGTTATTTCAGGTTCTTAGATCTATGGGTGGATGAATCTTCTTTCCTGGATATTGTATCAGAAGCTTGGCAGGAGGAGGTGATAGGGAATCCTATGTGGAAATTCCATCTAAAATTAAAGAATACTTGTAAGAAACTATCTTGGTGGTCCAGAAATGTAGTGGGTAATATTTTTGAGAAGACCAAACAGATGGAGGAGCAAGTGAGGGTGTTAGAGGAAAAGATGATTGCAGAAAATAATGACACTCAAAGAATAGCCCTGAACAAAGCCAATGCTGAACTTATCAGGAACAACAAGGTGGAGGAAAAGTTCTTGAGACAGAAAGCCGGCTTGAAATGGTTTGTTCAAGGGGAAACCAATTCAAAATTCTATCATTCTGTGATAAAAGGAAAGAGAAGAAGAATGCAGCTCAGTAGAATGAATAAAGAAGATGGTACTTGGGTGGAAGGAGAACAACAACTTGCAAAAGAGGCTGTTGCAATTTTCCAAAAACAGTTTAAAAGTGAACTATATCCAAGGGATTTTTCAATACTAAATTGTATACCTAAATTGGTCACTGATGAAGATAATAGGAACTTAACCATAACTCCTAGCTTGGAGGAAGTAAAAGAAGTGGTCTTTTCTCTGAGCGAATCCAGTGCTCCTGGCCCAGATGGTATCGCAACAAAGTTCTACCAAACTTGCTGGGATATCATTGCTGGGGGATTTACAACTAATGATACTTGCCTTTTTTGCAGGTGCCGAACTTCCCAAGGAATTCACTCATACATGTCTTGCTTTAATTCCTAAAGTGCCCAACCCACATGAATTCAACCACTTCAGGCCAATCAGTTTGAGTAATTTTTCATGTAATATTATCTCAAAGCTGATGACCAGAAGGCTTTCCACAATCATGCATAAGTTGGTTTCTCCTAACTAAACAGGATTCATTAGAGGCAGATCCATTACAGAGAATGTTATGTTAGCTCAGGAACTGGTGCATAACATCAGAAGGCCAAACACTGAAGGAAATGTAGTGATGAAATTGGATATGACCAAAGCTTACGACAGAGTGGATTGGAACTATATATGCCAAGTTATGAGGCAAATGGGTTTCTCAGAAGTTTGGGTGGACAGGGGATGGAGATTGATTTCAAATGTCTGGTACTCCATCATTATAAATGGGAAGAGACATGGTTTCTTCAATTCTTCAAGAGGTTTGAGGCAGGGTGATCCACTTTCACCATCACTTTTTGTAATTGGGGCAGAATTATTTTCAAGATTAATGGATCAGCTCACTGAAACAGCATTTATCCCATATTCAGTTGATAGAAATGGACCTATAGTTACACATCTTTGTTATGCTGATGACACTATATTGTTCTCATCTGGTGATCAACAATCATTATAAAATATGATGGCCAAGTTAAAGAGGTATGAGGCAGCATCTGGGCAACTGGTAAACAAGGCTAAGCCTTTCATCGTGATGAGCCCGGATACAACTCCTGAGAAAATACAAGAAGTATGTTCTATCACTGGTTTCAGGGCATCAGAATTTCCTTTTCAGTATTTGGGATGCCCAATATACTTGGGAAGAAAGAAGATAGTATATTTTAATGAGATGGTGGTTAAAGTATCTAATAGGATCCAAGGGTGGCAAGGAAAGCTTTTATCCTATGGTGGCAAGGCGGTGTTAGCCCTCCTAAAACAGTCTTGAACCAGGTAGAAAAAATCATTGCCAGATTCTATTGGGGGTCAGACGATGGTAGCAACAAGTACCATTGGAAATCATGGAAGGACTTATGTTTTCCTACCAACGAGGGTGGAATTGGACTCAGAAGTTTGCATGATATGTCACTATCATTTGCAGCGAAGGCATGGTGGACATTCAGGACAAGTAACAACCTATTCAGGACATTCATTGAGGCTAAATATTGTAAGAGGGATCATCCAGTCTCATATAAGCTAAGACATGGTCTTTCTCAAATCTGGAAGAGGCACATGGAGATCAAGGAAGAAATTGAAAAATATATTCTCTGGAAAATAGGTAAAGGTAATTTGTCCTTTTGGTGGGACAACTGGATAGGTCAAGGAGCTTTGGCAAATCTAGGGGTTAACCATCCTACTCCTAAAGGAACCAAAGTTCAACAATTCATCAGGGGTAAGAAATGGGATGTAACAAGATTGCAAGCTATACTTCCTCATTATTTGGTGAGAATTATCAGAAAAATCAAAATACATCCTATGGATGATGACAAGCCAGTTTGGACACTTGAGCAATCAGGGAAGTTCTCATGCAAGTCAGCCTGGAATGCACTCAGGACTACCAAAAATCACACTTCCACAGGTATCAAAACATGGCATCCAAAGTTACCATTTAAACTCTCCTTTTTGATGCTGAGATTACTTGAAAAAAGACTACCAACAGATGAGATTGTCATTGAAAAGTTTAAAATACAAGGCACTTCTAAGTGCACTTATTGTACCCAAGCTTCTTGTGAGTCAATTGATCATTTATTCTCCACAAGTCAGATAGCAGGAAAGGTGTGGTCCTTTTTTAGCAATTCTTGTGGCATCACTATCCAGCAGGGAACAATGAGGGCTATGATTATGAAGTGGTGGCTAACCAAACCAAAGAATAAAGTACAAGAAATGGTTTTGCAATGCCTCCCCATAGTTATTTGTTGGCATATATGGAAGGCAAGGTGTTCTTATAAGTTTGAAGGTATAAAGTATTATGCGGGGCAAGTCATCCAGAATACTTGTTATCTAATGAACATGTTATTACATACTACCTTACCTTCAGTCAACTTTCATAATGACTGGATAAGTAACATGTGTTTGATAGAAAGATTACAACAATGCCTAAGTATCAAAAGAGTGAGCTGGATGAAACCTGCACCGGGATGCTTCAAATTGAATGTGGATGGCCTGTAGCAAAGGAAATCCGGGAAGTGCAGGAGGAGGAGGTGTTGTGAGAGACCATAATGGAAACTTCATAATGGCCTTCTCGGCGTACTTTGGAAAATGCTCTAATAATGCTGCTGAGGCAAAGGCCATGATGATGGGTATTAAATGGTGCAAGAACAACAATATAAGGAACCTTATTGTGGAGACAGACTGACAGATTGTTACATCCCTTGTTATCGATGAGTCGAAACAGAATTGGCAGATTATGTACTCGACTCATAAGATAAGGGAAATTGCGAGGAATTATGCAGTGGAGTGCAAACATATCTGGAGGGAAGGAAATACAATGGTGGATATGTTGGCCAACTGGGGTGAAATGACCAAGAGGAAGACTTTTTTCACTGAAGTTATCTCACTTCCAAGACAGGTGACAGCGGCACTGAAGAATGATCAACAAGGTAAATGTAACATTAGAATTAAACCTAGAAATGGTTTCTTTAATGTCAAAGATTTCATTAGTTAGGGAATTTTTGTTTTTTGGCGACCGATATACCTTTATGGAAGTAGGTATAGTCAGCTTTTTAAAGGCAACATGCCTTTTAAATATGTAATGAAGAGGCTTGGTCTGGTCCTCCTCTTTGTAATCTATTTTGTGATATGAAAATCAACTCAAGGACCCAACTAGGGACTTGAGCATTAAAATAAAAAATGAGTTAATGAATGATCCTGTTTCATCACATTAACTTAAGGTAATTTGGTCAAACAAATTAAAATGGCAAGCATTTGTTGTTGTGTTTTTGTTTTTTTCACATGTTCCCATTTTACTTGTATAAAAATTGACTAGATATCCTTCGATTGTTCTTCTAATTGGCTTACTAAATAACTAGATTATTGGTGTAGTTCCGAAGACGAGTAGAGTCAAAGGTATATTAGATTACAGGTCGTCTGTCTGGACAAGAGATAATTTTATCAATTGCTAAGGGGAAAATGCATAATTACCCCTGATATATAGCCGGATTTCCACCTGTGTAGGGGTCCTATTACCTTCCTAAACTATATTTAAGTGAAATTATTTGCACCCTTAAAACGTACATGGCAGAGTGTGTGTATTTTACTCTCCTTGAGAGAGTGAGAAGCAAGAAAAAGTAATTTCCAAATGTTTCTTTTTGCTTTTTTACATTTTTTTGTTCGATATATAATTTTTTACTTTTTTTTTTCCTTTTCCTTTTCCTTTGTCTTTTTCTTTTAAATCTTTATTCGTTTCTTCTCCACTTCCAAAGGACATTGTCACGACACGGAATTCTCACCTTCGGGATCGTGATGACGCCTAATATTTCACTTGCTAGACAAGCCAACGTTAGAACGATTTATCCATTTTCAACAGTTCAAATTAAATGATAAGAAAGAAGCCGAAATAACTGCAATAATCTAAAGTAAACTACGGAAACCATATCAACTAAAATATCTAATACAACTCTGGACATTGTGTCACAAGTGTACGAGCTACTAATAGTACAAATAAAGGTCAGAACAAAACATAGAGCTGCCTGAGAGAAATTACACAGTAAATTAATTTAAGGGGACTTTAGGGGCTGCGGACGCCGAGCAGTTGTACCTCAAGTCTCCACACTGATAGCCAGCCGAGCACACTAATGACCGCCGCTGGGACCGACTCCAAATCTGCACAAGAAGTGTAGAGTATAGTGATGAGGCTAATGCGTGTTACTTACACTATAACCTGTACGCAGTATAAAATAAAGATAGGAAAGGAAAATACTGAACGAAATAAAGTAGTTAACCGAAGAAAATGGCTCAATCCTCAAAGAAAAACCAGTGAAGGCCAGAATTATACCAATCGTTACAGTCTCGTATGAAAATACTGAAAAACAACACAACACAATAAGGAAATAGAAACACATAGATTGTTATGGCGCGTAACCCGATCCCACCACACAGCACAATCCCCCCTTATTCCACTGTAATAATATCAAAAATAGTGTGTGTGTATATATATATATATATATATATATATATATATAAAATCAAATATCAGTATCAAATAATCAATAAGTACAATTAAATCAATAACTCAACTCACAAGAACCTTTACGATTAACAAATATGGAGAGTAAATGACAATCAAAGAGTGCATGTAAGTCAATTAAGGAAAATAGTAGTGAGTCATGAAAGCATGGGAAGATCTAATATTTTTAACACGAGCACAATGATTAACAAGTGGCAAATAAGGGCATGGGAGCATTTTAAACACATAACAGTTAAGGCATGGAGGAAAATAATTAAGGAAATACAAAAAATCAGGGAAACAAGCAATTCAGGAGCGTATAAGCACTCGTCACCTCGCATATACGCCGCGACACATGAATTTCACATAGCACATAGTTCAAGGATTCCTAATTCTTTCAAATCAAGGTTAAACCCAAAACTTACCTCACTCTGCAGTCAACTCAGAGTTGTACCGGGGCCTTTCCTCTAGATTCCACCTCCAAACTGCTCGTATCTAACCACAATTGAATCGATAGTGTCAAATAATGCTAAGGGAATCAATTACAATGCATAAATTTAGGGTTTCCACATTTTTTCCAAAAAGTCAAAAAAGTCAATTTCGGACTTGCTTGGTCAAAACCAGAGGTTTGGACTAAAACCCATTTACCCATTCACCCCCGAACCCGATTTTGTAATTAGTTTCGGAATTCGACCTCAAATTGAGGTCTAAATCCCTAATTTGCAAAAGTCCCCAATTCATCCTAAATCCCTATTTTTCTACCATGGAAGAGCAAAGATTAGGGCTAAAAATTAATTGGTGATGTTAGAAATGGTAGAGAATGAGTTAAAGTGTACAAATCTATGAATTGGTGTTGAGTTTTTCCTTCAAAATCGCCTCTAGGCCGATCCCTAATGGAGAGTTTATGAAAAATGGGTGAAAATTCACTCGTCAGCGATTTGTCTAGCCATTCTTCTTCCATTTATTCTGCTTTTTTTCCCCTCTTTGTATCCTTTTTATACACAAATTAAACTCTCAAAAAGCTATATTCATAAGCAAAGCAATATACACTCAGATTTGGGGAAAAAGACTCATCATCGGAAAATCTTCCCATGCTGGGAAAAATGGAGGTATTGAAATCTTAATCGGAAAAAACTTTCTTCTAACCTAGCAGGTACACTTATATTAATATCATCAATCACCTCTTAATTATAATATCCATCATCTTTACGCCACCCACAATCACCAATTATAGCCACCATCCAAACATCTTCTACTATAATAACCAATTAAAGACCTCAAGTCTAGCGTAGCAGCAGAAAAAGAATAAGGCAGATTGGAGGGTAAATAAATATGAGTGAATATTTGTTATTCCGGTTTGTTGGTGATGACTAGAGTAACGAAGAAGAGAAAATAGAAAGGAAAAGGAAATTTTTTATTATTTTTTATTTTATAATGAAATCTGATGTGTCCAGCGAGTGTGGTTCACGGCCCAACTTGGTTATGGTACTTTAAAAGTGAATTTATTTGACTTTAACATAGTTTAGGAGGATAATAGGACCCCCGCAAAGATAGAGTATGTAGTTGGGAATCCGGTCGGGATACTAAGATGATAATGAGTATTGGTGACTTCAGAAGTCAATGGATTGTATTTTAATCTTGGAATTGTTAGTTTCAAGCTCTAGCTATTTGATTCTGCTATCTGTTGGCCTTTCAAGTACTTCTTCAGCAAATTACTTCAACTTCTCGCACAAATTTTTCTGAATCGCATGGCTTACTCACCCCGTAGAGGCGAATCCAAGATTTAAATTTTATAGGTTCAGATTTGTAATTTTACTATACAACAACAACAATATACCCAGTATTATCCCACATCGTAGGGTATGAGGAGGGTAATGTATACACAGACTTTACCGCTACCTTTGTGAAGGTAGAAAGACTGTTTCCAGTAGATCCTCAGCTCAAGAAAACATAAGCACCACATTAATTAAAAGATAGATGAGGAGGGACAACAACAAAAAGTCACGTAAAGCAGCATAAAAACAACGCGATCATAAGATGATCATAATAATAGAAAACGACCGGTAGTCAAAGAAACCTACTACCAATAGAATGCGAGAGCGTGTACTTATTATTTATTGGGTTTAAAACTTATTATTTATACATATTTAATAACTTTTTAGGTAAAAACACAAGGTATGGGCGAAAGCTATGGGTTCAGATGAACTCGTATCGTCAACACTGGATACGCCCCTGCCCCCCACAAAAAACATTATTTTATATATATCGCATGAGGTAGGAATCAAAATATATATGTTGCTTGTTGCATATATATATATATATATATATATATATATATATATATATATATATATATATATATATATATATATATATATATATATATATGTATGTATATATATGGTTTCAGAGAACTCACATTCATTGACTTTGCTTCCTTGTTGGAATAAGCATCTGAAATTTTTTCTGAATTGCTTCTTTGAATAGTCTTCTTTGATATCAAGATCCGAGAGACGTGCAGATAACTATCACAATTGGTTGAGAAGAGTAGGATGATAATGGTATTAAAAAAGTAGTTCAGTAGTCAATGACTTGTATTTTAAATAATGTTGGAATTGTCAATCTCTAGCTATTTCATTCTTCCTTCTGTCGCTGGCCATTCTTTAGCCAATTACTTCAACTTCTCTCGTAAATCTTTATGAATCCAATAGTTTATTTCTCAAACAAGAGGTTCTAATAGCAGCTTAATCTTGGTTTGCTGAACTTTAAGCGACCAAAAGGTAAGAGGCATAAATTAAATGTACACAGGATTTGAACAAGAGGGATTCGAATTACGGAATCTACCATGCATATTCCATTTAATTTACTGGGTTCGAAATATATATATATATATTATTTGTATTTATTTAGTATAGATCTTTTATTGCATATAGAAAGCCTGACTATTGGATATGAATTAACCCATAAGTTATGATCTACATTTGTCCCTAACATTGGTAACTTAAAAGTAGCTAGTAATGGTAAATGAGCAGGATTTGGGAGGAATAATGCGGTGATAGGTTTGTTTTCTTGAATATTCAGGTCTTGTATTTTCTTCTTTATTATATGAACTTCCTTTTTCTTTTGTAAATTAACTTTGTTGGATCAATATCTTGAAAATGACTTTTTATAAATATGCAAAATTGTTTCCTGCTATGACTTTTTATGCTTCTTTCTTATATTTATTTCTCCTGTTAAAGTCTTGTGTACTTTTTATACATTAGGTCTTTTGAACTTGAAAGGAAAAAAGTGATTACTTTGGCATTAACCAGTGAAAATTACAATCATGGAAAGAGGAGAAAGAGACAAAGGGGAAGCAAACAACTTATCGGTATGTCATACAATATAGTTATAGACAATATATAATTATTTTTGTGTTCAAATTTCATGTTAAAGTCACACATATGTTTTAATATTATATTTACATCATTTAAAAAAAAATTATACTCTAGAAAATAGTATTTATAAAAGATCCAAGAGAAATGCAGTAGATGCATCCAACATATATATATATGCTGCAAATGACATGCTTTCGTCAAATTTAAAGCAGCATAATGCTTATAGTATAACTTCCATTATTAGTATTCTCGTAGAGAGATTCATAGTATGTTATACTAAAGATGAACTATAAATAGCGTAACAAATTTGACATGCACTTATATACCATGTACTCAAATTAAGTGACTTGGTACACAATAATTAATTCTCAAAGAGAATTACAACCAATGATTAACAATACATGACAAACTAATAATTTAAAAACTGCTACATAGTGATAAAAAAGACGGCAAATAAGACAAGAAAGTGTTTAAAAACTGCTACTATACGTACATAGTTATTTTGAATTGTGACTTTTAATTTTGTAAGTCTTAATAGTACTATTTTTACTTTGACTTTTTGGCAGAGAGAGTGAGCAGATACACTCACTGGTGTCAATGTTACATTGTTATCAATCTATCATTCTTTATCTTTATTTTTTTCTACTGTTTCTTTGTATTCACCCTCATAGTTTTCAGCATTCTCACCAACTTTCTTTAAATCCAAAAATTTATTCCTCTTTAATTTGGATCTCTCCACATAACTTCAAATCCAAAAATTTATTCAGTAAAGGTTGTGAACTACTTCATAAAGAACTCGACTGACTTTGATCGCAAAAGCTAATTCATAAGGTGAAAAGTTGTGAAGTGGTTGTTACAAGCTTATATTCCTGAACAGTTTTGCTGCTTTAGGTTTGCCAAAATTGAGCATATTTGGTCTCTGTCTAAATATTTAAGAAATTCGTTAGATTTAGCGAAAACTTTGATAAAATCTCTGTCAAAAACTGCAATACCAAAGACTGCACCACCCATCAGAAATAGGACAACATAGTAGAAATTACACCGCAAAGTACAACACGAGCCACAAGAATTAGACCAAAATAGCAGAAACTCTAAAATTGCCTTTTTTTTATATTTTTTTTTATTTTTGTCTTATTGTCTTGTTTATTATTTAGTGGCTGCCATAATGTTGGCATAGTAGTTGTAACTCATTCACGCTATATATGTTTGGCTTGCACAACAATTGGTATCAGAGCCAAGGTACTGTCTAAGTATTCTCTGTGGTTGCAGCATAGTCTGATCTTCCACACCAGAAAAGATTTATCTTGGTAACTGAGCTAAGGTATTGTCTGAGTATGCTTTGTGGTTGTAGCGTAGTCTAATCTTCCACACCAGAAAGGAAATAATCTTGATTTGTGTTGTCAGCTATTAAATAATATTTGTGTAAAAAATGGGAGACAATAAACAAGAAGAATCTACATCAAGTGTCAATAATACGTCATCGTTGGCATCTTTGCTTATGACAAGAATTGTGTCAAATGCGAAATTTGTGGTAGAAATTTTTGACGGGTTAGGATATTCTGGGATATGGAATGACAAGGTTCTAGATGTCCTTTTTTCAACAAGGGCTAGATCTTGCCATTGAAGAAAGAAACCAGATGTTGTTGGATAAGAAGAACGGAAAATTATCGACCGTGTTGCTTGCGGTACCATTCGATCCTACCTTGCTAGAGAGCAGAAATATCCATACACAAAGAAAACTTCTGCAAGTAAATTATGGAAAGCATAGGAGGATAAATTTTTGAAGAAAAACAGTCAAAATAAATTGTACATGAAGAAGAGATTGTTTCGCTTCACCTATGTTCTTGGTACCACAATGAATGAACATATCATCAGTTTCAATAAGTTGGTCACAGATTTGCAAAATATGGATGCAACCTGATGATGGTGACTTGGCCTTGATGTTGTTGGGGACACTTCCTGATGAGTACGAGCACCTTGAAACTACTCTACTCCATGGAAATGATGAAGTTTCTCTTAGAGAAGTTTGTTCGGCTTTGTACAGGTATGAACAAAGAAAGGGAGAAAAACAGAAGGGCGGAGAAGGAGAAGCATTGGTTGTGAGGGGTTGTCCTCAAAATCAAACGAGGACAAAGAAGGGAAGATCCAAGTCAAGATCTAGACCTAACAAAGATGAATGTGCCTTTTGTTGAGAAAAGGGGCACTGGAAGAAAGAATGTCCGAAATTGAAGAATAAGGCTAAACATAACAATGGAAAGGCCATTATGGATTCAAATGTAGCTGATTGTGATGATTCAGACTTCTAATTAGTTATAACAGAGTCATCAACATCATCAGACATATGGTTGATGGACTCGGCTTGTAGCTATAATATGTGTCCCAACAAGGACTGGTTCGTGGATTTTCAAGAAGGAGAATATGGAGTCATCCACACAGTGGATAACAGCCCTCTTACCTCATATGGCATTGGTTTGATATGATTAAGGAACCATAATGGAATGATCAGAACATTAATAGATGTTCGATATATACCGGGTTTGAAGAAGAATCTCATCTCTGTGGGAGCCCTAGGATCAAAAGGGTTAAAAATAATTGCAGAAAATGGAGTGATGAGAATATGCTCTAGTGCACTAGTACTGGTAATGAAGGCCAATAAGAAGAACAATAACACGTACCACTATCACGGTAGTACAGTTATTGGAACAGCGACAGTGACATCCAATGACGACAAAGAGGCAGAAGCAACCAGGCTATGGCACATGTCCTTGGGACATGCTGGAGGAAAATACTTGAAAACTCTATCAAATCAAGGATTGTTAAAATGAGTAAAGACTTGCAACTTGGAGTTTTGCGAGCATAGTGTCAAAGGAAAACAGACAAGGGTTAAATTTGGTATTGCGATCCATAATACTAAGGTATTTTGGATTATGTACACTCTCATGTTTGGTGTCCTTACAAAACACCTTCATTGGGTGGGAAATACTATTTTTTAACCTTTGTTGATGATTTTTTTCCGAAGAGTGTGGGTGTATACAATGAAGAGGAAAGATAAAGTGTTGGGAATTTTTCTCAAATGGAAGACGATGGTGGAGAATCAAACAGGCAGGAGGATCCAGTGTATTCGCACAGACAATGGAGGTGAATACAAAAATAATCATTTCAATAAGGTTTGTGAAAATGATGGCATCGTCCGACACTTCACTGTCAGACGTACACTGCAACAGAATGGAGTGGCAGAACGTATGAACCGGACCTTGAGGGAGAAGGTACAGTGTATAATGTTGCTGGCTTGGGCAAAGAATTTTGGGCTGAGGGAATTACATATGCATGCCACCTCATTAATCGTCTACCATCTGATGCTATTAATGGCAAGACACCATTTGAAAAATGATATGAAAAGCCTGCTGTAGATTATGACTCTTTGTACGTGTTTGACTCAACTGTATATTATCATGTGGTAGAGTCAAAATTGGATCCAAGGGCAAAGAAGACTATTTTTGTGGGGATTACTTCTGGAATCAAAGGATACCGCTTATGGTGACCTATGACAAAGAAAGTAATATTCAGCAGAGATGATATCTTCGATGAATCTGCTATAGTAACTAAGGTAACAGATGAAGATACCAAACAAGATGAGGGTGCTTCTAAGCAGGTGGAGTTTGAGGAAAAATTTATTTTTCCTACACAAGAAGCAGAGGAGGAAACAAATGAAGATTATCCTCTGGAAGAAGAGCAGTTGAGAGAAAGGTTCCAACTCAAGAACCTCAACAGAAACTTGAGTCAATTGCAACAAGTAAACCTAAAAGAGAAATAAAGACGTCTAATCGTCTTATAGAGGCTTGTGTAGCCTCAATTGTAGCTAATGGTATTCCTACCACTTATAATAAAGCAGCTCAGAGTTCAGAAGAAGATAAGTAGAGGATTGTCATGAATGATGAAATGCAGTCCTTCATCAGAATCATATATAGAATTGGTCAATCTCTCGAAGGACAAGAAAGCAATTAGGTGCAAATGAGTTTATGCAAAGAAGGAAGGATTTCCTAACCAAGTAGATGTTCGCTACAAAGCAAGACTGGTGTCCAAAGGATATGCTCAAAGGAGGAAATTGATTACAATGAAGTATTTTCTCCAGTTGTAAAACATTCCTCCATTAGAATTATATTGATTTTGGTAGCATAGTTGGATTTGGAACTAGTTTAGATAGATGTAAAAACTGTGTTTTTTCCATGGAAACTTGGAGGAGGAAATCTATATGACTCAGCCAGAAGGATTCAAAGTTGCTGGAAAAGAAAATATGGTGTGCAAACTTGAAAAATTATTTTACGGATTGAAACAATCTTCTAGACAATGGTACAAGCGATTTGACAAGTTTATGTTGCGGCAAGGGTACAAGAGAAGCAAATACGATCATTTTGTGTATTTGCACAAGCTTAAAGATGGTTCCTTTGTATATCTTCTCCTATGTGTTGATGATATGTTGATAGCTTCCAAGAATTTGGAAGAAATTGATAAGTTGAAGATTCAACTAAAGAAGGAGTTCAATATGATGGACCTAGGTGAGGCAAAGAGAATTCTTGGCATGGAGATAATAAGAGATAGATTTTCAAAGAAACTCTGTTTATCTCAGAAAGAATATTTAAAAAGAGTACTACAGCGTTTTGGCATAAATGAGAAGACTAAGCCAGTTAGTACTCCACTTGCTCTCCATTTTAAGCTAAGTACTACTATGTCGCCAAAAGATGAAGCTAAACGGGAGTATATGTCAAGGGTACCATACGCAAATGTTGTTGGTAGCTTGATGTATGCAATGGTCTGTATGAGACCTGACATTTGACAAGCTGTTGGAGTTATTAGCAGATATATGCATAATCCAGGAAAGGAGCATTGGCAAGCTGTGAAATGGATTCTACGGTATATTGATAATACTGTAGATGTTGGGTTAGTTTTTGAGTAGGAAGGCAATCGGTCGGTAGTTGGATATTGTGACCCAAATTTTGCGGGTGATCTGGACAAACGAAGATCAACTACTGGTTATGTGTTTACTTTTGCAAAGGCACCAGTTAGTTGGAAGTCTACTTTGTAGTCAATAGTTGCTTTGTCTACAACAGAGGCAAAGTACATGGCTATTACAGAGGCTGTGAAGAAGGCAATTTGGCTTCAGGGGTTGCTAAAAGAGCTTGGTATTGGACAAAAAAGTCACAATTTTTTGTGATAGTCACAGTGCTATTCAATTAGCGAAGAACCAAGTTTATCATGCAAGGACGAAGCACATTGATGTTCTGTATCATTTCGTACGAGAAATCAAAGAAGAAGGTGGAGTCACGGTGAAAAAAATTCATACTACAGAGAATCCTGCTGATATGCAGACAAAAGTGGTGATTGTGGTCAAGTTTCAACATTGTTTGGATTTGATCAACATTGTTGAACACTAAAGATTGAAGAAGAAGACACAACCAAAATTTGTTATTAAGAAAAAATTGAAGATGTGGAATTTTGCCAAGGTGGAGATTTGTTGAAGATGTCAAGCTCCCACATCGGGAATTTGGCAATTTGGTTGGGAATTGTTTCCTATAAAAGGAAGCCTAATGTTTAGGATTTAAACACACCTCTCATTTGCCTTCTCATCTTCTTAAGGCATTTGTATCTTCTCTCTCTTTAGTATTATTTCACTTGTATTTTTGGAGTGGAATAAAATATTTGTTGTGTCTGAGGAAGTAGGCAAAATTGGCCGAACCTCGTAAATTCTGGTGTTCTTTTTATTATTGTCTCATTGCCTTATTTATTATTTAGTGGCTGCCATAATTTTAATATAGTAGTTGTAACTCATTCATACTATATACATTTGGCTTTCGCAACATATTTCAATGTACCTAAATACTTCATGTGAAAACATTCACCAAGATATATCATAAAATTGCGGACAACGTCAAGTTTATTGCCAGAAATAATAAAATCATCGACATACATAGGGTCATTTATTCGCATTTCACTCCTTTGCTGAGTAAAAAGGGAGTAATCAGAATATGATTGTTAAATGTTCTAATCCATAATCTCCTAAAGTCGTTGATTGGTTTCGGAGGAAGTTCCTAGTTCATACGCCGTAGTGTTCAGTGGGCAATAAGGAAATATAGAGATGAAAACGGAAAGACGCGACATGATTAAATGCTAGATTTAATAAGATAAAAAGTTGTATCATATTCCAAGAGGAAGATCATTATTGTTTTATGATATTTGTAAGTTCTATTAAGCACAGATCCCTTTCTTAAAGCTAATGACTTATATTATCTTCTAACTCCTTATATAGAATGAATGAATAACTTAAAAAAGAAAAAGGATGACTGTATTAGATGATCATAAGAAATATTAAGAGAAAGGGAAAATAACAAAAAATCAGAGTATATCGCCAACAATGGTAACTTGCCTTCTTTTCTTTTACATGACAGTCTAAATATACGTTCTTTTTTTCCACTGCAAAATAATACTACCAATATAGGGATCAAATTTGATAATGGAACCATTGATTTGTTATGTATGAGAAGGGAAATCAAGTGAGTTACGGTCAACCAGACTCAATATTGGTGGAGCCACTGGGAGGCACTGGTGGATCACAATGGAATTACATGCTGAAAAGTCCCATTAGAGAAATATTGATTGCTCATGGAGATTGTATAGACTCCATCATCTTTAGAACAGTTACTGAACAAGGTACTATCATAGAGTCAACAAAGTTTGGAGGGGATGGAGGTCGAAGAGACAAGGTAAGTCCAAAAAATTGTGGTTGACATATTTATTTCTCATGATTATCACGTTCTTCTCAAGTTAAATTTGTGTCATGTCATAGCAATGAGCTTAGATTATGTAAAAAGAAATATTTATTAAGAGAATTAAACCAGTAATAGCAAATTATTCTTTTATCTTCAACCTTCAAGTTACCTTATGATGCTCTTGATATGAAAAATCACGTTATAATATGTCAACTTAATATGATAGTGTAGCAACGTTTTGCATTTCAATTCCAATGTACACAGTGTAAAATCTATAGTTATATAAGCATCTTTCAAGTCAAAGATATGAATGCACTAGTTGCTTCATATTTAAGTTTGCCGCTTCCTTTGCATTAAGAGGATACAACTAAGTGTCCAAATTTGCTTTTGGTCATAGATTTCGAATCCTAATATAACCGATATGTGATTTGCAATATTCTCAGGTTGTTATAGAGGCAACTCCTTTGGAATATTTAACAGACATCAAGGGGACAATTGGGCTTTGTTGTGGCCATTTGGTTATAAAATCTCTATGTTTTATAACTAATGCAAAGAATTATGGACCATTTGGGTGTGAGGACGGTGGAACCCCATTTTCACTTGTGATGGAAGAAGGTGTAGCTATTGTGGGATTTCACGGGCGTTCTGGGTTGTACCTTGATGCTATTGGTGTTTATTTGAAGAAACTTGATCCTCCCACTTCAGCAAAAGAACCTATGATTGAAGACATTGAAATCCGTGACGTATGTTGTGATTATTCCTCCTTTTCTTAATCACCTCTACTTCACTTTCTTCACTTCATACTTCAACGAACCTATGGTTGAAGATATTGAAATCCATGACGTTCATACTACTTTTTCTCTTAATATCATGACTTGGACAAATTTTGTTTCTTGTTTGTTTATTTTATTTATTTCTGATTAATTGTGACTTTATATTAAATTTAATTTCCTTTCGAGGAAAGTCCTGTCACATTCCAGAAACTACAACATAAAGACTTTAAAGAACACTACAAATTGGGCAAAAAAGCAAGAACTGCGTACTCTCTGTTGCAGCATTCTAAAGCCATATATCTCAGATTTTTCATCATCAACATCAAGTAAAAAGGCTTGTCATTTGGTCTCTAATAAATCAAGAAAAGTGTGTTTAATTTTGGTACTCAGATGGGGAAATATTCTTCAAAAAACACTCACTACTTTTTATGCATGGCTATATCTGCAAAAATGTTTTATGCTATATATTCTTCTTTCTTCATTTTCTTTAAATTCTTACTTCTTTCTCCTGGTAAAGTTTTATGTGTTGTTTTATTCATCAGATCATGGAAAGAGGAAAACAAATTGAAGGAGAAAGAGAGAAAGGGGAATTAGCAAACAGTTTTGAGGTATGTCATAATTATTTTGTGCTAGTAGTGTTGGTTTGAGGTGTCTATCCTACGAAGGTCAAGAATAACTATTTCTAATAAACTTTTCACCTAACTGTCTAAATCCATATAAAACGATTAATTTAAAGAACTAATTGAAGATACATAAATTATTAAAAAATTTATTAAATATATATGAACTATATTATAATAAATATTTTTATGTATACAATATTTTTAAAATATACATATGTAATCTCGTGTTGGTTTGGTTTCGATTTGAATTTTAAGTTGATGTTTTATACTTTAATACCACACAAGAGGGTGGGGTGATTTGTGTGGTGTTCAATTTTTTCGCGTGCACAAATTATAGAAGGACATGGTTCTTCTATGTGTTTCTTACACTACAGTTACAGAATAGTAAATGCAAAATGTATATATAGAACACAAGTATTTTACGTGAAAAACACTTGGCTCAAAAGGTGAAAAAATCACGACCTACTTTCAAGTAGGATTTTTTCCAATATGCCACTAAATCATTGAGCCAAAAACAGAGTTTACAAAACTCTTGTAAACCTAAGGATTACCTCTAACCCTTTGTGGCAACCAGCCTCAGGTTGTTGCAACAACTTCAAGTTAACTCTAACTTGAACAATACGCTCAAAGTATCTAGTACAAATGCTTCTAGAGAAAGCTGAAAGATACAACTCAAAAGCCCTACTACACAATTGAACTACAATAAAAGACAACCACTTGGAACTATTTCTTCTATCTAGTTCATGTAGCTTCTGGTTCGCAAAACTTGAATCGCACGGGAATTGCTTGCAAAATACCATGCTATTTTTCTCTCAACTCTTGTTTAATTTCAGCATTTGTGTGTCACCCGTAAAAGAGAACATCCCGAAATATATAGTGCTAGTAGAATAGGATTAACTAGAGTTCTAATTCTATATTATTCCATGGTGGAAGAGTTCTAGTTATCCTCAACTTCTAACTCCTTCCTTATCTAGGATAGAGTTCTCTTCAAGTAATGAGTCATGCTCCTTATCAATTGTGCAACCTTTTCGTTCAGGAGATATCACATATAACTACTTATGCTTGTCCTCTTTACGTGCATGCCTTGTCCTTGAATCTGCCCGTACGCTGTGTACACTGTGTATGGATCTTGTTCACACATGTGTTCCTTTGTCAATCATCAAAAAAAATTTACTCAGGCCTACAAATTCCCCCTTTTTGATGACGACAAACTTTGTGCTTTTCATAAGCATGAAACCTATTTCAACTCACCTCAACATTGACACAATGTTAGAACACTTTCTATTTTAAAGTCACAAATCATCAAGAACCAGGTTTATTACGTTATAAACATCACAGTCCAAAGTAGAAAGCACAACATATCTTCCCCATTTTGGCATCATCAAAAAATTGCATAATTATGTTAGATAACCATATTTTAGCAAATCTTACTCATGGCCATTTAGGTTACTTCAAATGTAATCACAGAGTCACGTATCACTTATCAATCTAAGGATATTAGGCACTTGAAGAATACCTTCATTCTTCTCCTTTTCCTATGCAAGCTTAGTCTTGAAAGCATCCCTCTCAATTTCTACTTTAGCCAGCTTCTTCTTCGGCCTCTCAGTCTCAACATCCTTAGCCCCACTCTCCTGCTACAAGGCTATCACTTTGATGTACACAGGTGTCACGCCCCGAACATGGGCCTGGACGTAACACGACACTCGGTGCCTGACTACACGTGACCGAGCGAATCAACTAGCTGGCTGAATCAACATGTGATATCATAATATACTGAATGCGGAAGATAACTAACATATGCTGATATATTGAAAGTCTGAATGATATAAATCAAAGTGTAAAAACACTAATACAAGTCTGAAACATATATGTAGTCAACATTGCTTAACATGAAAAGTATGTGACTCTGTCTAACTGTTACTCTAGTCTATGAAGCCTCTAATGAAGTATTAAAAATACTGACTGTCTGAAAATACTAAAGACTGTAAGCTAATTATAATTTCCCGAAAGAACTGGGGATCACCAACCAGCTGGTACGAGAGTCATAGCACTCCGAATCGTCAACCTGTAACTCATTATCTGCATCGTGAGATACAACCCCCGGGCAAAAGGGACGTCAGTATATTTGAATTGCACTAGTATGTAAAGCAACTAAAAGAAAGAACTGTAAATGCTGAAACTAAAACTAAGTTGATAACTGAGAATTGATCATTCATAACTGAAATGATCACTTTTGAAACTGAAACTAAAATGATAACTGATACCTGAAATGATAACTGATAACTCATAACTGAAATGATAAGTAATAACTGATAACTGAAATGATAACTCATAAATGAACTGAATAAAGGAACTAAGGATATGAATACTTCCTCTTCTGAATGACGAATAACCTGTTTATCTGAATATTAAACTGTGGCCTCGGGCCCAAGATATATATATATATATATATATATATATATATATATATATATATATATATATATATATATATGTGTGTGTGTGTGTGTGTGTGTGTGTGTGTGTGTGTGTGTGTGTGCACAAACTGCGGTCTCGGGCACAAGTATACATATACATATCTGCGGCCTCAGGCCCATAATGCATAAAGTATAAATTGCGGCCTCAGGCCCAAAGATGCATAAAGCATAAACTGCGGCCTCATGCCCAAATACAGGTATTCAACATTCAGGGATTTAAAATCAGGAACTGAGAATCATACTGCAATACATGATACTGAAATGCTGAATCACACTGAGTTACATGATACTGGAATACTGAATCACACTGAGTTACATAATACTGGAATACTGAATAGGATTAGACCGAGACATGTACTCTTGAACTGATTATGAACACTAAAACTTCAATTTTTTATGACATGTTGAGTAATCAATACTGAGACTCGGGGGGCATCAATCCCAAATCTCTATATTGAATACGCACTGAGCTCACAACGTTCAGAATGAAAGTCATGAACGAGTTATGAAGCTAGAGAATATAAGTTTTGCAACTATTCAAGGAAATAGGCTTAACTATATTCTTAAGGCAATTAATAACGTTGTAAAAGAAACGTAGTGTAGGGAATCATTAACATTCCCAAGCATAGAGAGTTAGCCTCACATACCTTGACTATGGTCCTTTAAGCATATCATAATGTTCGTCACCTCTTTCAACGATAATCTATGTCAATATATATCAAGAGGAACCAATATTAGCACTAATTCTCATGTCTTAGTCACTTAGGAATTTTATCAAACACCTTATGACATAAAGCCTCAAACCCCTTAGTAATTGGTCTTTTCTTCACCAAGTTCTCATTATACTACTTCTAGGTGATTCTACAATCCCAAATAGATGTAACTAGCACCATTTCTCATAACCCAAATGTTTAGAACAATCATAAGTCAACAACCCAAAACCCTAGCATAGTTCATATGGTTCTCTTTATAAAACCCATTTACTATTTTTCCAAAACTCATCAATTCATAGCTATAAATGGTTAGGGAGTAGAAACATTACCTCTTGATGTTCAACCTTCTTAAATTCGAGTTCTAGGGTTTCTTTCTCAACAATGGTGCCCAAGTTGAATATCTAATGATTTGAAGGACTTAACTATGTTAATAAGGTTTTGGGGAATTGAAATCAACTTAGAATCATAACTAGAACTTACCTTGAATGATTGAGGGACCTTGGGGAAGTTTGGTTCTTGAGAGTTCTCCTTCTAGAGTAGGTTTTCATGTTTGGGGGTGTGGGGGACGAGTTATGGCCTTTAAATAGGAGGACATATCCCAAAATTGAAGAGGAACTAAAAATAACTCGGATAAGCAGCACTGGCGCGAGGCACCATCAGGGGCGCCAAACTTACTGTGCAAGGCGCCATGGAAGGCGCCAAAACTATAGTGCCTTGAATTGTCTGGGGTGCTAAGGACGATGCCGTGGATAGTGCCTTGCACTATCTGTGGCGCTGAACTTACAGTGCCTTGCACTATCTGTGGCACTGAGGATGATGCCGTGGACAGTGCCTTGCACTATCTGTGGCGATGAACTTACAGTGCCTTGCACTCTCTGTGGCACTGAGGACGTACCTCCCATAAACTTAGTCGATTCTATCAAATTTTATGCACCTCACTCTCGGTCTTGATTGTAAAAAAATTGTTTCCATCCATTCTCATCCCGATGGGGCTTCACATGTCTAAAAGATTACATTAATACTCATTTAACGCATCCACAACTAATCCGGATTTACGGGGTGTTACAACAGGAACCCTCTTGGATGAACCAAGTTGTCATGACCCAAAATCCAACTACACCTAACCCAACCCTCTAGATAATCCAATTAATATCTAATTCTAATGAAATTAATAAAAACTATCAAATAGAGAATTTAACTAAATCTTATACATTTTTCAAAAACTGGTAGTATAAATCATGAAATTCTAAGAATAGAGTTTACAAAGCTGGTATGATGTAAATACAACATCTGTTTGAAAAATTCATAAAGAGAGCTTTATGAATCTAAGGCTATCATAAACAAGAGGCAGTTACAGCAGGACCACAAATACATCTTCAAATCCAGCTCCAACCGAATACAGCAACATCAGCAGCCATCATCTGCACGCAAGGTGCAGAAGTGTAGTATGAGTCAACCTACCCCATGTATTCAATAAGTAACAAACATAATCTTAGGTTGAAAGTAGTGACGAGTTGGAAGAAAGGTCGGGCCCAACATCCAATAGCCAACAACAGTTCACAACAACTCAAAGCAAGTAATTAAAGAAGTAACTCAAAGATAAAATACTCAGCTTTTTCATAGTTTCCCAAAAAATAGTTCCACTTTTCAAGTATGTCAATGAAAACCCAAATCCTTTACCAAAATTGTGTAAAATATGAATAAGTTTGAAAATTATAAATGTTTTTCCCAAAAAGCCTTCCCACAATAAATAAAATATTTCATTTTCTTACCAAATGGCAAATGTGAAATACCT